GTTTTCAAAGCGCTGAATGGGAGCGCTGAATGTATTCAGCCACTTTCAGCCATTCTGGCGCAGTGGCGGGAAAAAAAACTCGTTCAAAGCGCATCTTGGCATGATCTTGCAGCTTGCATCGTGTTCTGCCACCTTCCGGCTTTCGTTGTTGGTGAAACTTCTCTCCTTGCCTTTTTGTCGGTCATCATGGAATCCTGGACAGTAGCACTGGAGCGGCGACTACTGGAGCTTTGGTTTGAAACAAAAACCAAGTATGAGACCACTATGAAAAAAATACCAGAAAGAGAGCTTGGATCTTGGACGAACTGAAGAAGTGTGCTGGAGAAGGCGGACGGGAAAACAAGAGAAAATCATATTCAAAATGAGCCGGAAGAAAAAAACTCTAGCACACAAAAAAATCCAGCCGATTTCGCGAAGTGGTGTGACCAACCGCCCCATTCAGCACAAGCCACTTTCAGCGCAAGCGGGAAACGGCTTGTTTGGTGTGACCGCAGCCTAATAGCAAGTATTACTTTCACTGGGGGCAGGGGTAATAGCAGGTGGATCCCAGGACGGATACCCTGACGCCATCAATCCTTTTTCTGCACCTTGTCCTCACCCACCTACTGACGTGTGGTGAGCCCATAAGTGGGATCGTTTTCCAAGTCCACCCGTAGTTTGAGGATTTCAGGGGGTGTCGGCCTTTGGGCGGTTCAAAAGCCAATTGAGTCATCTTTCCAAGATTCCTTTTGAGTCTCTCTCCCCTTTCCCGGGGAGACCGAGGTGACCAGTTTTGGCAGTGAGCAAGTACAAGGACAAGTGTGCGTGTGTGTGTGTGTGTGTGTGTGTGTGTGCGTGTGTGTATGTGTGTGTGTGCGCGTGCGTGCGTGTCCAAGGGACTGCAGGAATTACCTGGTGATCGAAAAGAACATCCAGAGGAAATTGTTCTCCGCAACCTTCACATGGCGCTGCATCATCCGAAGCAGTGTTGTCTTCACCGAGACCACCTAAGCCTGGCAGTGAAACAGTAGAAGCCATACACCAGGGATGAATCTACTGTCGTGTTTTTGCATAGCAGTTTTTCCTATGCAAAATCTCAATTGTGGCGTAAGCTACAAAAAACATGGATAGCCTGTACATGTATGTATGGCAGTTTTCTGCATGTCACTGTGATTTTTGAGTAGCAGTAGACCGATTTCACGTAGCAAACTGCGATGCAATACCGGATAAATTCGTTCCTGTACAGATATACCATACATACCGCTAAGCAGTACTGTTTAAAAGTCAACAAATATTCGGCGCATACTTATTTTCGGCCAGGTCATAATTAGGTCATAATTGGCCGAAAATTAGTTGCGGCCGAAATTTTGTTTCGCAAGATTCAGTATGACAGTGTATACAGGAAGCAGCAGTAGAGGCCGAACATTTAATGCGACCGGAATGTGTTTTAGCCCTGGGAGGCCGCAATTTGAATGGGCCGAACATTTGTAGACTTACTGTAAACGTATTTCTCAGGGTGCTAGCCACACTGGCGTCTAAGCAATACCCCCCCCCCCCCCCCCATTCCTGGGCGCAACATTCTATTTTTCTTGCCATCCGGAGTACATGTATAAGCGACACACTGCTGTAAACCCGGAAACCTTTGCGATCCTGAATCCTTTAATTTTAACAGCGGTTTTCGCGATGGATGTGAAATCGAAAAAGTAAGCCAGCGCGAAATGTAGAAGTGTGGTTAAGACACTGCACTGAGGAAAGTGTGACTACAAGCGAGAACATATCCAGGTACAAATTTGGGGGGGGGGGGGCAGTCCGGGATCGGGCACTGCCTGTAACTTCGAAGTGTCCGTTACTCTGCACCACATATGGCTTGATAGGGGAAGGCCATACTGCAGGTCAACAAATATTCGGCGCATACCGGTATTTACTTTCGGCTATTTTCGGCCTTTGCATATTTGGCCGAAAATTTATTGTGGCCGAAATTTCGTTTGCAAGGTTCAGTTTGACAGTGTATACAGGCAGCAGCAGCAGCAGCAGCAGCAGCAGCAGTACAGGCCAAAAATTTGTTGCAGCGAAATGCGTTTTAGCCCTGGGAGGCCGAAATTTGAATGGGCTGAACGTTTGTAGACCTACAGTAGCTATGGTATGTGACGTCACTATTTCCACAAAAAGTAACACAGGAGTACCGTCTTTCCCCGAATATAAGTCTCACCTTTTTTACACTAAACTTCAAGGGCAAAGAAGGGAACGCGACTTACAATCGAGAGTGACATCCTACTTACATGCATGTATTGAAACAATGTGATTCAAACCTCAAAGTGGGGGTGCAACTTATAATCGAGTGCGCCTTACTATCGGGGAAATACGGTACTAATATTTCCGATAAAACTTATCCAAAGGGTGCCCGGCAGACCGAAGTGCCCGTGACGTCGGCGTCCGGAGAACTGAGGTGCAAGTGTAGAAGGTCCACGCCATTGCAACAATCAATTGCAGAACATCAAGTGGTCGAGTGACACTACGCATGCACCGTGCATAGAGCGCTGTCCGTCAGGCAATATTCAGAGTCCAAGCGGCAGGGGCGATGTTTGAGGGGTTATTTCTACGCGTTTCAAAGTGTATCTAACACACCGTACCTGGCCACACAACACAGCCTGAACATGTACCCAACAACGAATTTCCTCGCTATGGAGTATAGTGTTGTTAATGTGGGCCACGAGCGCAGTGTGGAGTGGAGGAGTGTTTCAAAATCTCAAATGGCCAAGTTCGTCGCTGCTTCTACGTGATTGAACATGTGCGCATATATAAAAAAACTCTCCAACCACACTGACTGCTTGTCCTTTGCCATACACGGGATGAAACGTACAGCCCTGCTCAATGAAATGCAATCTAGTCAGCCACTGCCACGCCGGGTGCTGTGCAGCTCTAGACCCAGCGTTAGTAGCAAAAGCATATACACAGATTTTCTGGGGATTTCCAGAGAATTCCCGAGGGAAGATAAACTTTCAGGGTTTTCAACGGCTTTCAAGGGTGCTACGAACGATTGGGTATACAACAGGAGTGGAAGGGGGGGGGGGAGGGGGCAGGGGCAGACGTATGTTGCCTGTTTGCACCCTGGCAGCGAGAATTTCGGCGTAGATTTACCACAAGTCACCCACAGCTCGAGGGAACCTACCTGGGAAGCTAGTGGTACCATAACCTCCTCCTCCTGCGGCTGCTGCTGCATTCAATGAAGCCGCTGGTGCTTGCAACTCTCGGCTGCAGCCGGTACGCCGATGCTGTGGTAGCTTGTTGCCGCGGAACGACATGCCGCAGCCGGTGCACCGCTGCTCTCGGCGTGCGCATGCCAGCTCGTGATCGTCCAGGTCGCCAAGCCTGACTTCCACCTCGCAGAACTCGCACGCCACCGGAACATCGTTCGGGTCGGACGAACAACCCTCAAAGTACGATGTAGAGGATGCGCCAACAGCATTTTGAGTGTCAGCTTGCGGCGGTGGTCCAGCAGCAGCAGCAAAAGGAGCAGAGCCCCCGTTGTGCTTGGGGGTGTTACGAGACAAACCAGACCTGGAGTTAGATGCCATTGACGCACTAGAGGTGCTGGGAGTTACGGTCGAGCCACGCGCGCCATTAGAGCGTGCAGATGATGCTTGCTTTACTGACGACGAGGAGCTCGACAGTGATGCAGTGGATCGCGAGGACGAACTGCCGGTGGTTTTCTTGCTGCTGCTGGTGGTGGTTTTCTTGCTGCTGCTGCTAGTGTTAGATAGTGGTGGGTTGCTGGTGGCGGTGCTGCTGGTAACACTGGCTCTGCTGTTCGCCGCGCTGGCTCTGCTGCTGTTGCTAGTGCTGCCAGTCAGCTGTGAACTTGACAAAGTGTTGGCTGCACCGGCTGCCACACTGCTGGATGTCACGCTGCCCGACAAGCTGCCATACGCGCCAAGACCACGAGCATTGCCAGCAGCAGCAGCAGCAGCTGGTGGTGACTTGGTCTGTTGAGTTGACCTAGGTACGCGTCTCTTTGCTTGCTGCGTGGCGGTGGTGGTGTTGGTGCTTGAAGCAGCCAGGCTGGCTGATGCGGAGGCTGGCACTTCGGTAACGCCCCACTCGGCATCAGGCGGGGTGGTGGTCTTGGCATGCGGTGGCTGGCTTCCAGAGAGCTTCAACGACGCCGCTGCGGTTGCCGGTGGCTGTGCTGCTGCCTGTGAAGCAGAACAGTGAGTGGAAGACGGTTTCGAGCTGCCGTTGGCCGATTGTTTCCCAGTGCTCGGCAGCGATGATGATGCTGCGCTGGCAGACGAGTGTGAGGTGGGTACGCCATGCTTCTCTGTCATGTGCCACTCCATGTCTGAGAGGCGCACACGAGTGTGACATAGGCTGCACTCGTCGGTACGAGAGCCGCAATGGCTGCTGTGTTCCGGTAACTCGTCGCATTGCCAGTCTAGCTCACAGTATTTGCATGTAACCAGACGCTTTCTACACTCTTCCTCCTGCAAGGCAGCGCGTGAGAAACACACGCACACACACACACACACACACACACACACACACACACACACACATACATACATGCACACACACACGCACACATGCACACACATGCACACACATGCACACACAAATGCACTGTCCAGGGTTCTAGACAAAGGGGCGTAGCCCTCCCCCTCTGATGCCCCCCCCCCCCCCTCTCCCCCTACTCTGATGCCCCCTGCCCTGATAGCCCACTCTCTACTCATTTGTTTCGATTATGTTTTCCAGATTCACACAACGAAAAACGGCTACAAACCGATCATTCCGGGTGGTAATGGGTGCTACGCCATGTGTACTTGTAGCATTTTTTGTGACAATGCAACATTGGAAAAGGAGAGAAAAAAATGGTAGCGGCTTGCTCCCCCCCCCCCCCCCCCCCTCTCTACACACTCCTGAAAGGGCAGCTAATGATGATGATACTCCGCCATACCTGATGATCATCCAATTGCCATCCTTCCATGCGATCATCACAATCTGGACATGATATCTGTACAGGGGAAAGAGAGAGAGAGAGAGAGAGAGAGAGAGAGAGAGAGAGAGAGAGTGTGTGTGTGGGGGGGGGGGGGGGGGGAGAGAGAGAGAGAGAGAGAGAGAGAGAGAGACTGCCACCCTGATACGCTACAGTTCCGCAACAGTCCCGGATACGACAAAAAGACCGCACACTTTGACACCTCATTTTATGGGTGATGAAATTTTAGCGATAATAGCAAACGGAGTGGTTTCGAGAAGTTCAGTTGTCAATCGAAAGTTAACATTCTGCATAGCATGCAATGTGCATGCATTTTGACCGACATGAAACGCTGATCACTAGAAATTTCCCTGCAAACTCGTGCTAGTTTATACATGTAAATCGCATCCGCTTTTACCCGTCGAAATGAGCCTTTTACAGTACAGTATTCATCAGCTCACATCAACAGGTCACGCACGTTACTGCTCCCGAGACTGAGGCTCGTGAGCACTCCCTACTGGCTGCATGTAAGCCTAGGAGAAAAAGCATTTTAAAAGGGCTACAGTTTTTTTTCATTACAGGGTGCGACAGAGCTTTTTACCTGTTTATGGTCTTCAGCCACGTGTCGGTCAAAGTCTGCAACCTTTATAGGTTCATTGCACCGCTCGCAGAACCTGTTGAGACGACGGCATCGAGGCTCGTGCATAGTAGCGTACACATCCACGGACACATCTTGACGGCTGTGATGTATACAGACACACACACACACACACACACACACACACACACACACACACACACACACACACACACACACACACACACACACACACACACACAAACACGAACATACACACACACACACACACACGCGCACGCAAACACGAACACACACAGACACTCACACAGAGGCGCCCCGCATGCAGCCACAACCAAAAGACAAACAAACAAACAAGCAAACAGGACTTTGACCCATGCACCCACAGTTACAATATTCCTGCAGCTAACCTTGCAATGCAGTTTTCTAAAGCAGTGTTCCAACCTACACGATCCTTATGGTAGATATTTGCATTGTTCTCTTCTCGCAAAATTAGCAAAAATGAATACGCCGCAAACATTAGGCTGTTCACAGTATTACAAGTACCGGTACACAGTAGGGATAAGTTTGAAGAAGAGAACGTAATGTTCAAGTAAATTGGACATGGAAACTTTCGTTGTGCTGTGGCGTAGCCAGGGATCGTGCCAGAGCGGAGGAAAGACAGACCGTAATTGGGACAGGAAAACACCAAAGGAATAATCTACTGAATATGTTACACGTGGCACAAATTGAAAACAGGTTCTCTCTATTCACACTCAAGGAAAGAACGAGCTTCAAGCTCCTCACGATCAACATTTTCAAAAACTATTCCACTGGTGCTTTTGATGCCTTCTCACCAGGCGGAATGCAGGCGAAAAGAAACTGAGCAAGAACAATGCATTGGTATACAGCGAAGATGTGATAGAAACAGGGCAGAGAAGAGTGGCAAGAAACAAAACAAAAAAACTGTGAAATGCGTGACCTCGTACACATAGGAGGAATGGCAAAAAGGCGCAAATGCGAAGAAACCAAACAAGCGTGCAATGCACTGCGTCAACAATAGACTACCAATGGACACAGCTAGCAAATTGTTGACGACCTACCAAACAGCCAAAGTGTGAATTTATTTCATTTCTGTTCACAGAAGCCAGGCTTCCTGGTGTGGACATAAAGACTTTTAGTACATAGTACATACGCGTGCACTGAGTGTGCACTAAGCGCACACAAAAAAACTGGACTAAATTGGTATGCGTCACATGTCGCACGTCGCAAAAGTAGGACTTTGGCCAACTTCTACGGCACCAGCCGTGTACTATAGTGCATTGGCCAATTCCGAGCCCCTGAATCACTCTGGGCCCCCTGAATCACTCTGGGCCCCCTGAATCACTCTGGGCCCCCTGAATCACTCTGGGCCCCCTGAATCACTCTGGGCCCCCTGAATCACTAAAACTACATGACTATGTGTGCCATCTTGACCAACTCTCCATGATGGCCCAGGATCGAGCAGCTTGGGGAGGCACCCGGTATAGGGCGCGCGTGCAGGCGATCTCTAGCCGAGGAACAGCAGGGGAACCAGGTGTTGCACGATACTAATAGTTATCATTTTGTATTGTGTCAATGCAATCTACTACATTCCCAACTCGTCACAACCATTAAAAAAAATGTAAAAAATGTAATAAATCGGAAATATGGCCGAAAGCTCTCTGTCGCAATATTCAATGCAATCTGTCACGATTATGAGTCTGAAAAAAAAACATTTTGCTCATAATTTTGATCATTCTTCACAGCATTCACTTTATCTTAGGCTTAAAACAATGGCTATCATATTTCTGACCTATAATTATAAGTCATCGACCTCACCATCTTGAATAAGAATGAAGTGAGACGGTGAAACAGCCATGGGCCCGGAATTGGCGAGTAGACTGTAATAACTCAATGCAGCAGCACGTGGCAGGGAAGCTCTTGTCGCAAGTTGCCCATCGCGTAGCAGAAAGCTATAGTGCATCGAGTTTTGGTCCTGGTGTGACCAGGTAGACCCAGGTAGAGCCACCAGCATACCAAGCAATATCAACGTCAACCTTCATCTCTGCCAAGAAATCAATCGCCGCCATACAACGGGTTTAATACTGCATGCTCCTTTGGTTGTAGGAATTAGTGTTATGTGCCAAGCCCCGGACTGTGTAGTGCATCTCGTTCTGTTTGCCACAGATGAAAAAGAAGAAAAGCTAGCCAAATTGCAATTTGAAAGCATCGGTAGGACCAATGCATGTGTGCCGTGCGGCTGTAAAGAACTACATGCACTGCACGTCCATCATCTTGAAGCGCATAAGCATGATCTGTGGTGGGTAATCCTAAAGATTAGTGTCCCATAGTATAGGGCTTGAAAGTGCTACGTCACAGCATAGCAACAAGTTCAAAAATTCAAAAACTGGATCCACTTGGATCCAGTTTTTGTATGGATCCAATCACATTTCAAGCCGTCTCACTCACAGCAAGGTGATGTAGCCAGTGAAACTGACTGATTTGGCTACTGGGGGCGGGGTTACAACTGGTGGCGAAGTAAAAGTCACCCCTGCATACGACATGAGTGGGTTGCTATGCACCCACATACTGAGGCAATAGCAAAGTCACACCTAAGTGATCCAAAATAGAAATCTGATGTCAACTTACTACTCCCTGGCCGTTTTTGACGTCATCACTTTCAAGCCCTATTAGCAGTGTCCCAAATTATTCTCGGCCTGTAGCATGCACTAATGAACCCAACTGCAAATTATTCGCGACCTTTTTGGTCTGTTGCATGCACTAGTGAACCCTACTGCAAGTACTACAGTTGTGCAATGTGTTGTGTCCCAAAACCGGCGTGCGTTCCGTGCCGTATTTGACGCTGGCACATAAAAGTACTGGCAGTGGCACGTGGAACACACTTTTAGTAGTTTTCCTTATTCCACTTGTTTGCAATTGCTGGTCGTCCTCCTGCCCCCGATTTATTGTCCCGCCAGCAGAGGTTTTCTCTGACGCGCAGATGCAAGCGGAGCAATGGGATATATTCTCTCTTGTTCTTGCCCTTAATGGCCATGAGGAAGTTCTGAACTTCTGTGCAACTCGCCACCTCATCGCAAATGAAGTAGCTTGTGGGACTTGTGGCGAGCAATGTCGGTTGCAAGTGCTCCGTCAAAGCCAAGACGGGTATCGCTGGAAGTGCCGCCCTTGTGGTTTCACCCGCAGCATTCGCTGTGGCTCGTTCTTTCAGTGCAGTCACCTGTCCCTGCACACCATACTGTCCATAGCATACTGGTGGGCCATGGATATGCCCCAGAAAAATGTTCTGCGGGAGCTGGATGTGACCGAGCCAACTCTAATCGACTGGTACAATTTCCTCAGAGACGTGTGTGCGGAGGAGATTGCTGACAATCCCATACGATTGGGTGGACTTGATGATGACGGGCAGCCAATCGTTGTCGAAATCGACGAGAGCAAGTATTTCCATCGGAAATACCATCGCGGGCAGTGGCGAAATACCATCGCGGGCAGTGGCGAGAGGGTCATTGGGTCTTCGGTGCTATTGAGAGAGAGAGTCTGGACGATGTATGATACAGGTATGTTTGGCGAAGTTTGATTGTGGTCTCGTGTGCACCCGGCCCACAACTGTACTAGCAGTTTTTTCCTCTTCTGACCGTTTGTTTTGCTCTTGTCAGGCGCGTACGCAGGGGGGGGTCCCGTTGCCCGGAACCCCCCCCCCCCCCAAATGTTCCAAACGAGCAACGTTTTTGGGCATTTTTTGGTAGGGTGCACGATCGATCTGGCAAGAATGAATGCAAAACTTCAACAGACCGTAACTCAGTCAAATCTCGCTCAAATTCAGCGATCCAAATATCCAGATCGAATAGAAAATTCTCAGCTGTCGGTTGGAACAATTTTCGAAGCGCTGCGAGCAATGTCTCTTGGGATAAATCATTCGTAAGTTGAGCCGCGATCTCGGGAACTTCAAAAGCGCGCAGTGCGACTTGAGTATCGAGAATTTGAGACTTTCCGTCATGCTGACTTGCTCAAATTTGCAGGGGCTTCACTTCTGATATTTTCAAGAGTACACAGCAAAAAATCGAAACTCTTCTATCAAGAAAAACGAAATCGCGGGAGCAGGACGCGTTTGGGCCTTTGAGGCATTTTTCGCACCATCGCTGCACTCTACCGCTATAGGCTATAGCGGTAGGGTGCGACATATCCAGCGCTATAGGCGCTGGATATGTATATGACTGTACTGTGTCCTGGCTATCATGGTCGACCTCATTCTCTCCCGGGTACCTTTCCACTTCCAGAAAGCCCAAGAGAATGAAGATTGAGTGAGTAGAACTGAAGTTATGATCCAAAGAACATGAAAAATGCATAATTTTGAAATTTTCCTAGGGCTCTTTAGAAAGGATTAAAACTCATTCACGGTTTGGGATTCAGTTGGAAACCCCCCTAGAGGTGACCCTGCGTACGCGCCTGCTTGTAGGAAGTACCAGACCGCCGTGCACAGACGTTAGTTCCCCTGATGGAGGTGTGGGTTCTACCCGGAACACGCATCATTTCCAACGGTTGGGCAGCTTATGCTCATCTCGGAGACGTGAACGACGGCATGTACACGCACGACGTCGTCGTTCACGAACACAACTTCGTGGATCCAGTTCACCGCGACATTCACACCAATAGTGTTGAAAACATGTGGGTGCGAGCGAAGCGACAGCTGAGGAGAAATTCTGGCACCTCCGAGCCCTTGTTCCCGAGCTATCTGAAGGAATTCATTTGGAGACAGGAACGCAGAGCTGCAAGGGACTACTTCAGAAGCACGTTGGCAGGTATTCGACGTCAGTACCCCATCTAGATAGTCTCGATTTGCCTCGCTTCGCTACCTGTTCCGCCTTCTGGTGCTGTTCCTTGTTGTCTCATCTACTATTCCTCTCCTGCTAATCCTGTTGTTCGTGTGCTGGCAGTGCCGTTCGTTGTCCTGAGCTAATCCTGTTGTTCGTGTGCTGGCGGTGCCGTTCGTCATCCTGAACCCCAAGGATCTACTACAAAACTCCACCACCATTGTCTCTGAGTGTTAGAGTGTGTTCCACTCAGGTCACCTGACTGAGTTTGTTGTTGTTGTATACTTTATTTCTAGTATACAACAACAACAAACTCAGTCAGGTCAATTACGGAAACGAACACATGCCGGTTTTGGGATAGATTAGTGCATGCAGTGCATGACCAACAGACCAAAAAGGGAGCATCAGAAATTTGAGACACTAATATTTTTCTGGTGAAAAGCAGTGATTTGAGTGTGAGCCAGTGTTGCTCACAACCAATTTTTTACTAATCTTTAGGTCGAGAATAATATGGGACACTAATCTTTAGGATTACCCTTAGGATTACCCTGCGGTCTTTCTGAAAGGTTCACACTAACAATCATGGAATGTCGAGCATGGTTATCATCAGGGAGCAGTAACATACTTTTTACTGCTCCCTGATTATCATAATTAGTTGATCAAAAGCCAGCCAGGTCAGGTCCCACTAACCAGTTGGGACACCGTTTCGTTTCAGCACCCGCAGCAGACATCCTCAGCCGCTAGACCTTCTCCCTTTTGAAATTCCACACGTATCACCACCTAGGCTGGGTCTGGTCTACAACCAAACCTACAACCAAGTCGTCGTATTATTGCTTTTACCAAATAAATGTCCAGGACGTGCATGAACTGTTTAGAGTGAAAGGCGAGCTGGAACAAGACCAAACTACAGCTGCCAGTGCTATTCCTTCCTCAAAATTCAGTAGAAATGACAACAACGATGAGCAAGAGCTTGTACTGTAGTTGTAGAGGCCGAGATGCACTACTGTACAACGTAACAATAGATCTACGTGTAGTTTGCCAAGGAAGAAGTTTCGTTGCCACTTGACCCAGCTAGGGTAAATCCCCTTGCAGCATTTGAATTTTTGGTGCATGACTCATGATTCCATACAATGACGTTTCCACAGGTCGTTACTATGGCTACGACAGTCAACCAGGTCAACAGGCGAAGGACTAAGTCTAAAGTCTAAAGGGACCCTCACTTAATTTTTACCGACTTTCGCGGCAAAAAACACATTTCGACACGCGTGTGTGCTGGACGTCTGCGCGTGCACGACAAGACGTGTGAGCTGGCTGACAAGTGAGAGCCAGGGAGTCGTCAAGTACCGGCGTTTGACGACTCCCGGCCTGGTGAGAGCATGCATGCATGCATGTCCAGCTGGCGGGAAAGGGAACCTATTTTGTAGATCGATGGGTTGAATGTGAAATTGTGGATTGTACACGAGGTTTGTTTTGATGTTCTGATACTTGTTGTAATGGCTAGTGATCTTGCAAACTGTTAACTGTTACTGTGACTTTTCCAAGTCCTACTGATATACCTTGTCAAATCAGATGCCCTGTAGTAGTCTTGGTGGAGGCAGACTGGAATGCGTTGAATTCGTAGCTTCTGAAATTGAAATTTATTTTTTCTTGAGTGACACTGACAAGCGATGGCATTGGCGACAGGAGAACTTTGCTTCCTTCCAGGAGAGCTGCATCGCAGTCGGATCCTGTCCATGCACATGCGATCATGCTGTGTTGTAGACAGTGGAGAGCTAATTTTGACCCAAGAAAATAGTTTTGAACATTCATGAAGAGGATATTGTTGCTGTAGCTAGCTGACAGACATAGCCTGTGGCAGTGGTGTATGAAATCAGCTTGCAAGGTCTGTAGCAACTTGATCATGCAGAGAAGGAGCTGAACTGCACACGCACTCGCTACTGCTCTCGCAAGATGATTGGCTTCTCTCCAGTGATCCAGCCCCCTCAACGCATGGATCCACTGCGCTTTGTCGTCGAACACATCAACACGCCTGTTGACGTTCACTGGGAAAGGTATCACTTCACGATGAGGAGCACACAGCACTCGTGGAGGCTTGTGCCGGGTGAGTGGCTTCTCTCCACTGATGCAGGCCACCTGGAGGCATCGGGCCAAGTGCGTTCTTTGCCGCAAGGGCCATATCAAAACAGCAACACCAGCAATGCCACCACTTCCCGACTTCAAGACAACTGGACCACATCAGTCATTTGCCATAATTAGTGTCGGCTATGTCATCCCCTTCTATGCACGCCAGGGTCGAGATCGGTCACAACTCAAAGAGATATGTATGTGTGTTTACATGCCTGCTGACTAGGGCTTGTCATTTCGAGGTTATCTCTGGACAACGACGGTTTTCTCCTGGCTCTTAGACCCCGATTCACCGTGCGACGTGGTGTGCCACAAGAGATGCAATCGGACAACGGTACCAATTTCCGTGTGGCTGATCAAGAGGTAAAAGCAGCTGTCAAGTTTCTCGACAACTTCAGACTAGCAGCAGAAAGGTCATACCGCGACATTACCTGGTACTTCAAGCCACCAAGTGCACCACACTTTGGTGGTGTGTTCTAGGTAATGGCCAAGGCAATGAAACTAGTGCTGCATGAAGACCTTCAGCTGCTATTGCCACAACACTTTCTCATTGGCCATGCTAGGGCAACTGTTGCTGCTGAAGCCAACACATCTACAATGACTCAAGCTCACCCAAGAAAGCGCTGGGAGTTTGTGCAACGTATTGTAGATCAGGTATGGAAACGTTGGCTGAAAGAGATTGTTCCGAAGCTAAGCATCCAAGTGATGTGGTTGCTTCAACAGCATCACCCTAAGGAGATATCGTGCTTGTGATGGATAAGCACACTGCAACTGCACACTAGCCACTTGGACGTATGCTTATGACCTATCCAGGTAAGGATGGTGCTGTTCGGATAGTAGAAGTTTAAGTAGCTGGGAAGGTATACAAGCATGCAGTTCATCATCTTGAGCCACTGGAAGTTAAAGGTGCAAGTACTGAGCGAACTGTGATTGTTTTCATATTCATAGTAAAGAAAAAAAAGACCAAAGAACTACAAGTTATGCTATACTGTCCACTAACACCACCAGTTACTTGGCAATCAGCTCATGCAATAACAATAATTATAACATTGCACCAAACTGACCGACAGTACTGACGTTCTACAACAAACTGGCTATCAACTCTAGCACGTCTTGTAGGTCCTTGGTCCTTTTCTTCCATCCGAGTTTTCATATTCAAGTTTTCATATTCAATTGCCATTGTTTTTGTCATGTTTTTCTTCTTGTTGTCTTCGTCTTTTACTCACTCATGTGATATTTATCACTTTTCTTTCACGAGGGAGATATGTTAGATTTAATCTCCTATTTCTGTGTAATTTACATGTACTACTGTGTTCAATGGTGGTGAACCACGATGCATTGATCATCATGAATGCATGTGACATGCGTCACAGATCTGGTTTCTATTGCTGGCATCTATTACGCCTGATTGCTTTCTGCCTTGGATTTGCATTCACAACTAAATGTACAATTATTTCTGCATGGCTACATGCATGTACGGTGCAATGCTGTTAAAATTTATGTTGTTGCCTGTTCATACTGTCCTGGAGCTGGAAGGACGCTGGTCTTACTTACTTCTTCTACTTCTTTTAGTTGTTGCTATCTTGCCTAAATGGGCAGTTAATGTTTGCAGCAGTTGTGCTTCGGTTCATAGTTGTATCAAGGAAAGTTAGAACATATGGTTCTCTGTGCTTGTAAGACCACAGTGTAGCAAATGTAACACCTTGCATGCTGGAACTAGCTGGCCGCACACATGCACTCTTAGCCACAACAACAAATAGCACCCATGCACTCTTAGCCACAACAACAAATAGCACCCGGATATATACCCTCCAGTTGCATGAGAATAGTGTTGTACATCAGTAGTACTAGTAGTACAATATTCTATCACAACGAAACCCAAAAAAGCATGATGGGAATAAGTGATCAATGTTGAGAGAGTGTGTGTGTGTGCTAGTGTTCATGAGAAAGCAACAAAAAAAGAGAAACTGAAAGATAGAAAGAGCTTGTGCCGGTGTGTTAGAGAGAGAGAGAAACTGACAGACAAAGAGAGACACAGAGATAGACAAAGAGAGATACAGTGTACGTCAACAGAGAGTGAGAGAGACACACACACACACAGAAAGAGAGATGGAGAGACAGACAGAAAAAGAGAGTAAGTATGTGAGAAAGCGAGCCAATACTTCGTGCCGAGCTTGATCAATACGCGATCAATAATCCAGTCAAATAAGGACAGAACTTCAAAAGAATTTATTACAGCAAAGTACATTGTAGATACACAGGTTGAGAGAAAAAGAGAAAGAGCGACACAGAAATCAAAAGACGCAGAGATCTACAGTGTATGTCAACATGCGTGTTGAGATGTTCAACGACAAAGTGCAGTGGATCCATGCTTTGTGAGTGAGTGTGAGAGAGAGAGACAGACAGACAGAGAGAGAGACACACACACACGCACAGAGACAGAGAAGAGAGAGAGAGAGAGAGTGAGTGTACGTCAACATGCGTGTTGAGATGTTCAACGACAAAGTGCAGTGGATCCATGCTTTGTGAGTGTGTGTGAGAGAGAGAGAGAGAGAGAGAGAGAGAGAGAGAGAGAGAGAGAGAGAGAGAGAGAGAGAGAGAGAGAGATAGAGAGAGAGAGAAAGGGAGAGAGAGAGTGAGTGAGTGTACGTCAACATGCGTGTTGAGATGTTCAACGACAAAGTGCAGTGGATCCATGCTTTGTGAGTGTGTGTGTGTGTGTGTGTGAGAGAGAGAGAGAGAGAGAGAGAGAGAGAGAGAGAGAGAGAGAGAGAGAGAGAGAGAGAGAGAGACAGAGAGAAAGAGAGAGAGAGAGAGACAGAGAGACAGAGAGAGAGACACACACAGAAAGAGAGAGAGAGAGAGACAGAGAGAAGAGAGAGAGAGAAGAGAGAGAGAGAGAGAGTGTACGTCAACATGCGTGTTGAGATGTTCAACGACAAAGTGCAGTGGATCCATGCTTTGTGAGTGAGTGAGTGTGTGTGTGTGTGTGTGTGTGTGTGTGTGTGTGTGTGTGTGCGTGAGAGAGAGAGAGAGAGAGAGAGAGAGAGAGAGAGAGAGAGAGAGAGAGAGAGAGAGAGAGAGAGAGAGAGACGCACACACCCACACACATACATACACAGAAAGACAGACAGAAAAAGAGAGTGGGTAGCATCAAGAAGTAGAGACTATACCAGCAGCTTCGACTAATATACTTCAAGTTCTAGTTGGATGTGTATTGAAGACAATGGTAAGGGGGGGGGGGGGTGTTATTGGAGTTGTTCATGATCAACAGTGTATCTGCTAGGCACATGTTGCATCCATTGGTCCTGTTTGAGTGACAGTAGGCGTGCAACCGGACAATGTTGGTGAAAGGCTGCATTACCAAAGAATTTGGAGAGAGAGAGAGAGAGAGAGAGAGAGAGAGAGAGAGAGAGAGAGAGAGAGAGAGAGAGAGAGAGAGAGAGATGCAGTGGATTCACGCTTCAAGGTGGCCTGCATCACTGGAGAGAAGACACTCACCCAGCACAAGCCCTATCAAAAGCCACGTGCAGTTCATCATCGTTGAGTAAAACAATCACCAGTGCAAGCTGAATGGCATGCTCCATGCCTCGCTTCAACACACCGCGCGGTATTTTTCACGTAGCTCATCATGCTTCAAGGTAGCCTGCATCACTGGGGAGAAGCCCCTCACTCTGTACAAGCCTTCACGAGTGCTGTGTGCTCCTCATCGTGGAGTGACACCTTTTTCCAGTTATATCTACGTCAGGCGTATTGATGTGCAGATAAGTCATGCATTGAGGCAGCCTGTATCACGGGAGAGAAGCCAATCACCTGGCAAGAGCAGTAGAGAGTGCGTGTGCTGTTCCTCATCGTGGAGTACCGTTAAAACTAAAAAACATGCGCCAATGGAAGTTGCTTCAGCTCCTTCTCTGCCATGATCAAGTTGCTACACAGGTCCTCATCGTAGAGTCGTATCTTTTCCAGTGTACGTCAACAGGCATGTTGATGTGTTCCGCGACAAAGTGCAGTGGACCCATGCTTTGAGGCGGCCTGAATCACTGGAGAGAAGCCAATCACCTTGCGAGAGCAGTAGTGAGTGTGTGTGTAGTTCCTCGCCGTAGAGTAACGTAGAACATGCACAAGTGTAAGCTGCATGGGGGTGACCCTTCACATCTCGCTTCAGCTCGTTCTCTGCCATGATCAAGTTGCTACAGACCTTGCACGCTGATTCCATACACCACTGCCACAGGTTATGTCTGTCAGCTAGCTACAGCAACAATATCCTCTTCATGAATGTTCAAAACTATTTTCACGGGTGAAAATCAGCTCTCCACTGTCTACAACACAGCATGATCACATGTGCATGGACAGGATCCGACTGCGATGCAGCTCTCCTGGAAGGAAGCAAAGTTCTCCTGTCGCCAATGCCATCGCTTGTCAGTGTCACTCAAGAAAAAATAAATTTCAATTTCAGAAGCTACGAATTCAACGCATTCCAGTCTGCTTCCACCAAGACTACTACAGGGCATCTGATTTGACAAGGTATATCAGTAGGACTTGGAAAAGTCACAGTAACAGTTAACAGTTTGCAAGATCACTAGCCATTACAACAAGTATCAGAACATCAAAACAAACCTCGTGTACAATCCACAATTTCACATTCAACCCATCGATCTACAAAATAGGTTCCCTTTCCCGCCAGCTGGACATGCATGCATGCATGCTCTCACCAGGCCGGGAGTCGTCAAACGCCGGTACTTGACGACTCCCTGGCTCTCACTTGTCAGCCAGCTCACACGTCTTGTCGTGCACGCGCAGACGTCCAGCACACACGCGTGTCGAAATGTGTTTTTTGGCGGGTAGTCGGCAAAAAATTAAGTGAGGGTCCCTTGGCTTTAGTCCTTCGCGGTCAACAGAGCTCTAGAGCTAGATCTACAAAAGTATGATATAGAGGAGTCTGAGAGGACCACTTGACTTGTGCGAGCGACAAGGAGTCGGTATTTCACGACTCCTTGATGCGTTCTGGCCAGGGAGTAGTAAAATACATGTATTTTACTACTCCCTGGTTCTGGCTGCGTCAGTGCGCAGCCTGCGCTGGACGCTGGTCTGGGCCAGTTCGAGTTCTGGCATGTGGTAGTTCTGAGTTGTACAGCAAGATAACAGAGTAGATCTACGGGGGTTATGTACTCTTGGTAGTAGTACAGCCATATACGGTCTTTGTCTTTGACGACTCTACTCCCACATGCACATGCACATGGTTTGACGTAGTCCGTACTTCACATTGCAATTTTTTCTTCGCTTTTTCTTCTTCGTCGAAACTGAAAAGGACGATACAGTCTAGTATCAAGAAAATTCCTAGATCCTGCGTTCCGGAACAACAACTCATCTCGTCAGCCAAAAGGACCCTGCCTGAAGGGCGCGGGTAGTAATCGTCCCACGTGTTATGATCAGTTCTGCAATACAGTCGGGAATGAGCATTTGAGAAACCAGTAGCTGAGTTGGAGACAGGAAACGACGATCCTTGCTTCGTCCGCCCGACAATGCCCGGAACTCTGCTGCATGAGTGAACCATGCCGTCCTCCGGCTTGCTTTCGCGGAAAGCTTTAGTTCAGGCATATGTTTGTGCATTGCTGGTTGTAACACTACCATTATGTCTGGTTTGCGGGCAGACGCGGACGGTATGTCCAATATCTCTCGCCCAGGATGAATTCCCAGGGCAACATTCAGAGGCAATGGTGCTAGCTGGGTTCGATCAGCTGCGTCAGGTCCGGAATATAACTGGACAGAACGTGGCAGAGAATTTTGAACTATGTATGAACCTAACCCTGCGTGGAACGAACACTACACTCCCTGATTATGCGGAAGTCATAGTGGCAGAGAGCCAGCAAACAGTTGGCGAGCTACTGCAGCGCATACCTGTAATTCCTGCAACACACCCACACTGTTTGCTCTATGTCCGCCAGCTTATGTCCATATACGGGAACTGGACGAAAGCAACACTTTTGACATATTCACACCGCATAATTCGTGCCGAAGTACTTTTGACATACCTCGACACGGCACTTCACGAGAGTAAGTTGGACGATTGTGCGGCGGAGCGGGAAAGTCAAATTGTAAGGGATCCGCAGATAACGGAACTGGGCCAAATCCTGGCCCAACTACAAGTGGTGCTACAATGGCTAGAGACTACATGGCATTTTTATTCCGTGATTGACGAATCAGAGCACCTTGCACACGGCATGCAGTCTATCTGGGATATGCTGCCGACCAAAGAAGCAGGCTGGCACTTTGTTAATGATCCGTCGGAAACGAACCACTACCACTTGTTTGGTGTCCTTTCTTCCGCTCAGTGCAGCACGCTGGCGCGTTTTGAAGCTAGATTCTGTGTCCACCAGGCCCCGTCCCTAACTGAGGGGTGTGCAGTCCAGCCGAACTCGACCACCATGAAGACATTGCAATCCGTCCTGCGCTATACCAATCTCCTAACAGCTGCGGTTCGCCCACACGAGCTAGCACTAAGACAATGGTTTCAGTTAGTAAGTCTTGACCCTGGCACGGCAAACGCAGGGCTTTGCACTACACAGCCTCCAGTTGGGGCTGCTACGCAGTCAGCAGCTGCGGGCGACTACCGTAACGGAACCCGCTGCCTGAACCTGGACTGTGATTATCCATACACGATGGTGCGTGACACTCGACTGCGCGACAAAATTCTCACGCATGACTTGCGTGAGCGAGTTCAATTAGCCTTCACAGCATCACCATCGGTGAGTACATGATTGTAGTATGCATACTCGGTTAGGGCAGGTTTCTCTGTACTTGTATTCCAATCAGTGAGTAGTACTGCTTCCTGATTCCAATGTAGCCATTCACCATGTCCATACATCGTCACCACACTTTAAACAGTTGCTAGGTAGCAGCAACTCAATATACGTAGTGTTTGGTAAATGGAACCTAGCCCATCTTCAGTACTTGTGGTGGATAGCTTTGTATGGGTATGGGCAAGAGTTTATAACCCCGAAGAGTGTGCAACTGGCATTCACCCAGCACTCGGCGAAATTCCTACATTACGTCATGCGCAACTTGTCATCCGAGGTAACATTTGGGTTCCTTGTGATTTCTGGAAACTATACCCGGAACTGAGGAACTGAACCTGAGCTGGTTTTGCTCGCGGCTGCAACGCACGGGGTAGTGAACCCAGGACAGAAGCGGACCAGGCATCATGACTTTGCACATCTATCGTTATGCTGCTTCATTACGCGACTTGTTTTATTATTATTATTATTATACCCGGAACCGCTCCTAACTCAAGGCTGCAGCATCGACATTTCGAAGCTTTTTTGAAGACATTTTGGACGTACAAGTCGTACTTTCTCAAAAACAAACTCATTCTCCAAGAATCCATGGACATCGACAGGAAGAAGTGAGGACGCTGTTATGATGCAAGTGTAGCTTGGCGAGGCAAAACATATTACATTACCGCCGAGGATAATCATTCTGATAGCTGTAGCCGAGAAATGCTCCTTCGACGCATTCTCAATTTCCTCAATCATTTGAAATTATCTTCGAGGAAAGCACCGGAAATATGCCGAGGGCCCGGGGAAGAAATAGTTTTTGAAGAGACTGACTGCACTGACGAAAGAAGAAGGCAATGAAGAGTCACCATTGGCATCGATAAAATAGTTTTGTCTTTGGGATCACGTGCTTTATTTGACTTCTTGATCCCATTGGGGACTCAGATCAGAATCATAGTTTAAGCAGTCTTCCCTGAGGAAGCATCCCAGTTCGACTGTAAATGTTAGAAGAATTCCTCGGCATGACTAACCGCTCTGCACCAAAACTGCCGCAATGAAGGAATTCCGCCGAGCGGGCTTCCATACAGGAACTGATCAGGAGTTGCACACTCTTGGGGGTGATGAGCTCTTGGTATGGGGTATGGCTGTCAACTGGCTTGACAAGAACATGTAAGTTAGCGTGCAAGGAATTCAGGGTGAGTGTTGATGATCACCGCCGAGGCATAGCAGCATGTAGGCTGGACATTTAGCACGGAAGATGTCAACTAGGCTACGCTCAGCAAGGTGTGAAGGGCTAGCACCTCCGTTCACGCATGGCAGAGCGTAACCTGCAAGTAGCCGTCTTGATTAAACATAGTCTGCATGCTCCAAGCTCCTGTCCTAAATAACGTAGTGAACAGACACACTGCTTGACTTTAGCACCGATCATTAACACTCTCACCCGCCCCTGAATTCCTGCACACTTGCTGTTGTCTGTTAATGGCATCAACAAGGAGCTTTTCTGCTTTGTCTTCATCCTAATTTGCTCGGTGAGTGGCATGGAATTTGGAGTGGCAACCCTGCCCTAAGTGGGTTAGTCTTACATACACGCTCGGGTTATGAATGCTCTGTGATGGGGGGGGGGGGGCACTGAGCACTATTCCAGCAGCAGTTGCTGCCTTCCTTGATTGCGGTTTGATCGCTCCCTGTCTATGCACATGTATTTGCGTGCATGCGTGGACGTGTGTGCTGTTCTTCATACTATTCATTTTCCTGCCCATGTGCTCAGATTGACGACATACACAGCTGCGGACGATCATGCCTACGCGTGTTCTCACTGGAGACCAGCACAATGGTTATGGTCTGTGTGATAGTCAACTACGTTCTGACAGCAGTCGGATTGACCGTCTACTCCTACGCCATTCTCGTGGTCTGCTATAACTGGCGCAAGATCTTCGAAACACTGCACTGGCGCGCTCTGATCTATGTCAACGCATGCTTGCTGGGAGAGTTCGTGATCGAGCGCCTCAACCTCTTTGCGCAGGCAGCCCGGAGTATGTGTATTGATAACAACGCCATCGCCTTCGCGATACCGTACCAGACGGCAAGCTGGCACTGCAGGGTGTCGGCAACATCGCAGGACATCGTCAATATCATATTTCCGCTGTTCACTGCCTGGCAGGCGTTCATCTGGTTCTCGTACATTCGGCGCGTGACCAGCATGCGCGTGGCATTGACGTCCACCACCAAGAAGCGCTGGGCGAGAATACTTCTGATCGGCGAGGTGCTTGTTCTCCTGGCCGTCCTGCTCATTATCGTCATGCCGTTTGCCCTGCGCAAGTACGACCACCTGGAAGTCGATGCACAGCCGCTGGGCATGCCCTGTGCACTGTTCGGAGCTTCGCCTTTCTACTGGTCGCAGTTCATTGGCCTGGGCTTGCATGTTAGTGGCCTACTACTGCTTGGTACTTCTCATTACTTCTTCATCAAGAGCTCAGTGGTGACGACCAAGATCTGGAAGATCCCGATCATCGGCAGCAGCTGGATGCGTACACAGAGTAGCTTGCGCCACGACAAAGCTAAAACGGTCGATCCGGACGTAGTCATGCGTCAGACACAGAACCGAATTGCCTTCTTCATGGTGTTTGTCATCTTGTATCAAAGTGGTGTCTTCGTAGTATCCTTTATCCAAGGCAATCTGATTGACCCTGCCACTGCAGCAAAGTTTAGCCTTGAATTCCACACAAAAACGCACTGTCATGTATTCAGCTGTTATCCAAAGGAGTGTGCAACGTCCTACACCTTCACAGAGGATATACAGCAAACATTCTTGCCACGCTTAGTCTACAAAATGGTGAGGCGATTAAGATGATGGTGTGTGCTTGTGTAAGTGCGTGTGCCTGCGCAACACACATTTGTGTCAGGGAATGCGTATGTGCCCATGCGTGCGTCTGCAAACATGATCGGGCATGGGTTTGGGTGAGTTTGTGTGTGTGTCACTGTGTGTGTGTGTCACTGTATGTGTGTGTGTGTGTGTGTGTGTGTGTGCTTGCAAGCTGTTGAATGGTGTATTCCCAGCACAAGTTGCTATGTCTAACATAGCTGTTCGCTATCATCGCTTCCGCGATGGGCATGTCTGAGGTCTGAGGTGTGTGTGTGTGTGTGTGTGTGTGTGTGTGTGTGTGTGTGTGTGTGTGTGTGCGTGTGTGTGTGTGCCAGCTAGTTCGGTTGGTGGGTACACTTATGCCTGATTGTGTTGGGTCTGTTGCCAACGGGCTCGGCTGCTTGAAGGTGTAATGTTGTACCTGCCACCTTTGTTGGTTCCAGGGTTCATAATTATACTTTCTAGTTGAGGTAATCATACCTGTTAACCATGAACTGCTTCTGGCTAGATTAACTCTTGTGTAATCAATGGTGCTAGTGAAGCTTATATCAGATCCACTCTGATTTAGCCACCCACACCAGTAGCAAGTATTACCTTCACTGGGGGCAGGGGTATCTGCAGTTGGATCCCAGGACGGATACCCTGAAGCCGTCAATCCTTTTTCTGCACCTTGTCCTCACCCACTTACTGAGGTGTGGTGAGCCCATAAGTGGGATCATTTTCAAGTCCATCCAGAGTTTTGGGGATTTCAGGGGGTGTCGGCCGTTGGGTGGTTCAATAGCCAATTGAGTCATCTTTCCAAGATTCCTTTTGAGTCTCTCTCCCCTCTCCCGGGGAGACCAACGTGACCAATTTTGGCAGTGAGCAACAAGTACAAGTGTGTGTATGTGTGTGTGGTGTGTGTGTGTGTGTGTGTGTGTGTGTGTGTGTGTGTGTGTACCAGTGGGTGTGCCCGTGTGTGTGTGTGTGTGTGCGTGGAGTGTGTGGAGTGTGTGGAGTGTGTGCGGGACACTCTGTAACCCCTGCAACTGCAGGACTACAGTCATTGCCCTGCATAATAATGTCTTATCCTCCGTTATTGTTATTGTCGTGGTCTTCTCTCTGCTGGTAGGTGTTCAATGCTCTTGGGCTGTGTCTTCTGTCCTTCCTGGCTTTCCCGGGCTTTGTACAACCATGGACTTTGTTCTGCGTGAAGTACGGGCCCGAGGATTATGGCAAGAAGCAGGTAATAACGATGACTTTTTGTGGGAAACGGTACCGAGGGAATCTTTTCGGGCTTGCCAGGTGCTAACATATTAGAGGCTGTAGCTCTTTTTTGTGATGGCTGTGTGATTTTCAACTCCCCTCGATCGCCTCACTAGTACTTTGAGAAAAGGCCCGTTCTTGTCAATGATGCAGCCGTTCATCATTCATAACAGAGATGTCCTGCCGCACACGTAGCGTAGAGAAATTGTGTTTCAAACTTACGCCAAGTTGCCGTCAGCCAACATTGAGCCATGCGAGCAAATTCAAACTCCATGGCCATTTGCGTTTGTCTCATCTTAGGGAATCGAACCTGTAGGATAGCTGAAAGTGATGTATAGCAAATCTTGTCTACAAATTATCTAATTATCCTGACTTGCATGTACGACTGTTAAATGCATTTCATGTCGTCAGGGGATTTTGGACGGTTGTCTACCAATGAAGTTTGTCTTGTTACCAATGGCGTACAAACCATGGTAGACCTGTAGTAGCAAGAGTACATAACCCCCCAGAGTGTGCAACGCCTGATCCAGCTCTATAGGGTCTTGGTCGAGCGGAATCGGATCTTTGCGTCATAATACCGTACACATCTGAGGGGAACCCGGGGAGTCACGGGTACTCTTGGATCAAAAACAATGGTGCCCTGCCTCGAGACCGGCCTTGAGCTGGTGTGGAGTGTACGCATGACATCAGAAGATCCGATTCCGCTCGACCAAGACCCTATGCAGAGCTGGATCGGCGTTGCACACTCTGGGGGTTATGTACTCTTGCTAGTATTGAGTACAAACCATGGTAGACCTGTAATAGACGGTATGTGTACCGTATTTTACCGGTTGTAAGTCGACCCCGGTTATAAGTCTACCCCCTTATCTGGAGGTCTCAATTCTTCGTTTTAAAGTTTTCACCCAAAGAAGCACTACTAACCACCTCCTGCTACTAACACATCAATAAATCATGTAAACATTCCTTATTGGAGGATACAGGTGGAATCCTGATAATTCGAATATGGCTTAATTCGAACATACCGCTTAATTAGAAGTTTTTCCAGGACTGATTTCTGGCAATACGATTCCCACATAAAGTTTTCTGATAATTCGAACCCAGAACCGGACATGTTTGGTTAATTCGAAGTTCCACGGATTCCACTTACATAGAAAATGTGTGGGATTTGTGCTGATAATTCGAAGAAAGCAAAGTGTAATTCAAAGTTCACTGTACACTCTACTGGTCAGTTTAGTTTGCATGAGCAGGCTGTGCTGGTCAGTTCAGTATCCGTAAATCTGTATCTAAGGTCCATAGCGCAACTCTGCGTGAACATGGGAACATTTTGACATACATGTACATACATGTATTGCGTTGTGGGTGCATGTGTGGATAATTAGAATGTCCGGATAATTAGAAGTTTTTTCCTGGCATTTGGAGGTTCGAATTATCAGGATTCCACCTGTATAGCGTCCCAATCCTTGAAAAAGGCCAATAAACTGGCAAAAATGTGTAAACATGGTGCACTCGTGCATGCAGTGCAGGTCATTTTTTGTAAGATTCTGATAGTTCCCGGTTGTAAGTCGACCCCCACCCTTTCTGCTTCTATTTTTTACTTAAAAGTCGTAAAAGGTCGACTTACAACCGGAAAAATACGGTACTTGTTCTTCATTCTATGCATGCAGACCAAGCCAAGCAAAGATCATTGGGAAGCAAAACTGGCCAAGGCTAATTCGATGGAGAGCATCGTATCCAGGAAAAGTGCCTCAGACCGGAAACTCACTCCAAGGGCTGTTCTGACAGTGGCACAAACATCGCTGTCCATGCTTCCAGAAGATCAGAGTGGGATTTTGGAAACGCCCTCGTCGCCAAGATCCGAAACGAAACGAGGTACGTGCAACTGGGTACTCTGTGTGTCAGACGTACATGCGTGTCTGTGTGTTTGTGTGTTTGTCTGTATGTGTTTGTGTGTCTGTCTGTACGTGTTTGTGTGTCTGTCTGTATGTGTTTGTGTGTCTGTCTGCATGTGGTTGTGTGTCTGTATGACTGTGTTTGTGAGTCTGTCTGTATGTGTTTGTGTGTCTGTATGTATGTGATTGTGTGTCTGTATGTGTTTGTGTGTTTGTCTGTATGTGTTTGTGTGTCTGCCTGCGTCTGTTTGTGTGTCTGTCTGCGTCTGTTTGTGTATCTGTCTGTATGTGTTTGTGTGTCTGTCTGCATGTGTTTGTGTGTCTGTATGTGTTTGTGTGTCTGTATGCATGTGTTTGTGTGTCTGTATGACTGTGTTTGTGAGTCTGTCTGTATGTGTTTATGTGTCGGTCTGTATGTGTTGCCTGTATGTGTTTGTGTGTCTGTCTGTGTGTGTGTTTGTATGTCTGTCTGTGTGTGTTTGTGTGTCTGCCTGCGTCTGTTTGTGTGTCTGTCTGCGTGTGTTTGTGTATCTGTCTGTATGTGTTTGTGTGTCTGTCTGCATGTGTTTGTGCGTCTGTCTGCATGTGTTTGTGAGTCTGTCTGTATGTGTTTATGTGTCGGTCTGTATGTGTTTGTCTGTATGTGTTTGTGTGTCTGTCTGTGTGTCTGTGTGTGTGTGTTTGTATGTCTGTCTGTGTGTGTTTGTGTGTCTGTCTGCGTGTGTTTGTGTGTCTGTGTCCGTATGTGTTTGTGTGTTTGTCTGCGTGTGTTTGTCTGTATGCATTTGCGTGTCTGTCTGTATGTGTTTGTGTGTCTGTGTGTATGTGTTTATGCGTCGGTCTGTATGTGTTTGTGTGTTTGTGTGTCTGTCTGCGTGTGTTTGTAGATCTGTCTGTATGTGTTTGTGTGTCTGTATGTGTGTGTTTGTGTGTCTGTCTGCATGTGTTTGTGTGTCTGTATGTGTTTGTGTGTCTGTCTGCATGCGCTTGTGTGTCTGGGTGCTGGTGTCTGTGGCCGTGTGTGTGTGCGCCAGCGAGGTGTATAGACCCAGGAGAGCACACAGCACATAAAACCTCGGACGATGTGTGCCTCGCAACATTATTTTTGGAGAAGCCCCTGGGAAGAAATCGCGGGGAACCTCGGAATGTGCAGATAGATATAAATTATTACAACTTTTCAAGGTTTTCGGAGATGCTTTCACTGGGGAGAGTTACACATAACTGGTACGCGGACGTGTGCGACTCACGTAAAGTTCCGGCAATAGACCCACATTTGCAATGTTGTGTTTAGTCACACGGACTCAAAACTTGTGAAAGCAGCAAGGAAAAACAAATACCGGTACTTCGAAGTATCTGCGTTGCCACACTTGCCGACATGTCAGTTGCCTGCTGATTTTGCATATCACGGCGTATTTAGTTGTGATATCACGACCTGCCGACAATTGACCGACAACAGCCATGAAAATGTCCAATTTTTGACATTCTGCTTCGTTTAGAACTACATTAGAAAGAATGATCCAGATTTTTGCTTTTACTGTTCAGTGGTCATCTATTTGTTTCCATTGCTCTCTCCTAAGGTGCTAAGCAAAAAATAATAACACCGATTATATGTATATAATACAACCCAACAGTACGCTTGTACGTGAAATATAAACCGACATACAAACCGAGGCGAAGCCGAGGTTTGTATGATGGTTTATATTTCACGTGCAAGTGTACTAGTGGGATGTATTATACTTATGCTGACCTTCATACAAACTGACAGTCAACTTCTTCCTGTTTCTATGGTGGCGGTCTATATGGGGTTTGTATGAGGTTTATATGCCCAGTATAAGCCGCCAGCATGATGGGCAAGTTGACTGGAAGTTTGTATGAAAGGTCAGCATAAAATCTTAATAATGCAATGAATATAAAAGTAACTAAATGCGCACTCATATCACAACCATGGGGACGAATAATGTATTCCAGAACGTTTTCTTGTCACAATTATCAATGGAATTCGTGACTAAAGAGAATGATGAAACTACAATAGGATTTATACACTTGGAGTGAAACAACGAGGATACAAGCATAGTAAGAAAAATAGTACAAACTTAGGAAAAATTTGCCCTGGTAATAAAAACTATAGGTGAGGTGAGAAAGGATAGGAAATTCAGCAAGTGCAGTGTGACAATGGACATGCATGTGCCAGTATGCGTGAGTGCGAATTTACTGGAATAGTGTAAGTGCGGTGACATTTTCTTTTTGTTTACAAAGATTTGGATCACGAATGCGAATGTAGACTGCTTCTAGAACTTTCAACTGCTTGAAACTACTTGCAGAACGAACAACACTGAACCGAGAATCATCAGAATACATCATTCGTCCCCATGGTTGTGATATGAGTGCGCATTTAGTTATATTCATTGCATTATTAAGATTATTGTCTCCACGTCGCCTTTTATATTAGTATGTTATATTCGCTTCCTTCAAGTTTCTTGCCAGCCATGTGGCTTTGGCAGTTACGAATGCTTTTCTCTTTCGGATAAAACATCGGGGTGGTGTGCGTACCATGGGCCATGGCATGCGTACATACAGCTTCAGGGAATTGGAAATGCTTTTCGAGTTTTCTGTTGTTGTGCATTTGTACAATGTTGTCTAGGTACTTGTAGACATAATCATTAATCTATTCTTGCTTGTCTGTTTTGTTGTACACGCAGATCTGATATCCTATTCTACGCAGTGTACTGTGCCTACATCCGGATCATCACCCGCCATCTTGGGTGGTAACCATGGCCACCAAGTAGTCATCGAGGGGCCATCGGATGACGGTCGCGAGCCATCTGCAGACCCACCAACAAGCACAAGTAGTGGCCTAATCGCCTCTAAACTCACGGCAAGTGTGCTGCGGGCGAGTTTGAGCATAGAAGCTGCTACCAAGTCCACATCATTGCCTTGGGTAGCCCTAAACAGACGCTGCTCGTCCGAAGACGAGGACATCGCGTTTAATTATAGTGAGAGTAATATTTATGCGAACCCTTTGAAGAAAGCTGACGGGAACGATGCGGGTGCTTGCAATTCTGCAAGCCAGAACAAAAACGAGGTGCGGGAAAGTGGTTCTATGGAATCGTTCCATAGCCAAGCTCCTATCTCCCACTAACACATTTTTCTCGTAGCCTTCCTTGCTGAATATGTATGGTAGGTGTTATTGGCATGTGTGTGCAGTGGTTTACAGCAGCCAAGAACACACATGGATTAGTCCCTCCCCTTTCATCGTGGTGCTGGCGCCATCTAACCCCCCCCCCCCACATACACATACAGAACACTGTATATCACCAGTGCCTTCCCCAATGGTTTCTCTTCACGGCAGCCGCGATATCTTCGTTCTCGCTGTATTTGACTCCCTGCTGAATTTAATCCAACATGATACGTGCCCTTCAAAAGAAGTACATGCATTTTTACTGTTGATTCGAGCGCGGTGATTTGACGTTAACACTGTTGTTCCATGTTGGTAGTCAACTGTTACTACAGCTGCTTGCCTTTTCTCTTCTGCGAAACCAGAGTTACCACTGTTATTATGGAAGCAAGAGCGCTTTGCTGGTCTGAGTGCCTTTGTCCCACTTGCATTATACTTCCTGCTGATAGCAGCACTTCAGAGTAGAATTTGTCATTCGGAGATGATTGAAGATTCATCAGTTGGACTAGATTTAATCTTTATTTTGTGCTACTTTCCTAGAACAAGTTGAGTTCCTCGTCGAATTAGCAGTCGAGTTTTTGATCCGGATATCTCCTTTCCTTTTAGGTTCTCAATATAAGTGTATTATTTAGCTGCACTAAGCACTCTATTCACATACTATATTTTCATTAGTACTATTAGTATTAGGCACCAGTTAGCCACATTAGACACCCTTAGCAAAAAACGTTATGTTGTAACGGTATTATCGTAAGGGGGAAATACCGTGATTTGGGTTCGACCTTTAGCAAGATGCACGCTATTTTTAGTACGCCGTTGCCACGAGAATAGCTTTGATTTCGCGCGGTACGACCATTTTTGTCACCATATACGCAATACAAGGTGAAATGCGTACGGACTATGCAATATTTGGCCAAAACGCGTACCGTTGGTCACAACGATAAATGAGCCCCCATAACGTTTATACGCTGCAGCTTCAACGCTATTTGGGTGATCAAGGTACGAGTACCGTAAAAAAATAGCGTTACCGTTGTTTGCTAAGGGTGTCTATTATGAGGAGCTGCTGACGCTATTGTGTTATAACGATAGAATCATTTCAGCATGATTAAGTATGGCCTGTGGACCGGAGGTTATCATCAACTGCTGAAGTGGGTTGTGACTGAGCTTGTGTGTGGAGAGAGAGAGAGAGAGAGAGAGAGAGAGAGAGAGAGAGAGAGAGAGAGAGAGAGAGAGAGAGAGAGAGAGAGATGAATAGCTCACAGTACGAGTGCTGGTATCTTAGCTGGGAACAGTGACAACATGCAGTGTTTCACATGATTCAGGGCGCTGTACGACTCGTACTCGTACTTCTCCGCCGCCAGTTGACAGACTATCGAGAACTGTATGCATGTGTTGTTGAGTCTTCTAACCATCATTCATGACAAGCCGACTGAAAATCTCTCAGAGGAAGTGTCTTTAGAAGGAGGTTCAGTGGGTGACTTGTATGGTTTCGAAACTAATGCATCTCCGCAACAACTAACTACTTCCTGCAGCATTTCTTGCCCAGCTTCCAGGATCGTAAGGCTAGCCATGACGTCCGCGCATGCTTCCAGCCAGGGAGTAGCTCCTGGTTCCTTGTCGTGTTTTGAAAAGTTACAAAAATTAATGGTTTGCTACCACCACAGGCATGGTTTGCTACTGGTCCACCTCGGCGTGCAGCTTAACGTTAGCTGTTGCCACCCTGTCAATATTGTGTCAGCTCAAATGACCTGTGGATTATAGCGTGCACTCGTATGTGCCATTGTGGGGATGATACGTTTGGTGCCATGCTCAGCTAGCTTCACACTTTGGGGCACGTGCAAGCTGTATGTATGTACGCATCACGTGCAATTAAGCTGTATTGTATGTAAGCATACCGTGATGTCGCGTACTCAAGCTGGAGTTAATTCAGTAGGAGCCGATATCAGGACTAGGCGTCTATTCACATCAGGCTTCTATTCAAACCAGGTATTTCTATGTGTGTCAACACTAAAACTAGGCTTATGCGCCGGCAATGTATCTTGAAAAGCAGGCTTGTATTCAAAACAGGATTCTATTAGGAGATTGGCTTTCTTACAAGGCACTACAGTACATCACGTGCATTGCTGGCACCCTCACCACCGCGCTGATTATGAATACCATCCCCGCATGTGTCAGCTGCACCATTACACTCGACACAAGCGGAACAAAACGAAACTAGCTCCCGCATGGCTGGCCACTTCTGAAACATTCCTCGCAAAGATGGATGTACAAGCCCGATGTACGAACCCGCGGGTTTGGCCCAGATCCCGATTACTCAGGGGTCATCCGTAAATATACTGTAGTAGATAAATAATACTCCAGTACAAACCTAAGACTTCGGCGGTATTAGTCAGTCATGAAGTTGGTTGCTCCAACGAGGAGCACACGCTTCTTGCCGAACTTGACACTTGACTGACTCACGACTGCTTTAATAGTAATAATACTCCAGTAGATATTTATTTAGAAATGCAAGCTAGTCGTCGAGGGGGGTTGAGCGCCTGTTCGTTTCTCGAAAATATCGATGCACAGTTTGTGTGTGTGTGGGAACGTCCAGAAGAAAAAATAATATCGATACCATGCACCGTTTGTATGTGTTCGTTTCTGAGGGAGGGGGGTTGAAGAGAAATGACTAGTTTTCGTTTCTAAATAAATATCGGTATTTACGGATGGCCCCTTATGACTGGGCAGTCATGCATGGATGCCAAGAAGCCGGATAACACCAAGTAAAATGTTCAGTTCTGTGATAATGCACAGAGAGTTTTTTTTAAATTGAATGTGATACTGTGAAATCGTACTTCAAGAAGAAATATACGATGTAATCAAACCACACACTGGTAGCAATGCATATCTATTTCGACAGTACTTTACACAAATGTTCGTGGCAGAGTGCGGGTGGTAAGATTGAATCCAGGATCAGGATGCCGGCAATCGTTGCAACCGGCCATGGCAGGATGGCACCCTGCTGCATTTCTCCACGCATAGCTCAAAGTCACTGTCTCAGTCAAGTGCTATTCCAAATCAAACCCAGCCTGTTGGGACTGGTCGTGCATGATTTCAATGCGAAAGATCTGCATCATTGCCCTGAAGTATCCTTTGGGCAAGGAAAAGGGCCATCCAAAACACAACACTTGTTGTACACACCGCTAAAAGGTCCCCCTCCGAATAGGAGCCAAGAGGTCAAGGACTTATCATGTAAGTAATAATATAATTTGGGGTGAATATTCAAGACAGGCCCGGGGCAATTTACCCCCTCAAGATCTGCATAGTCCAACGTGGGCAAACCATTCATGGTGCATTGTCGCACCTAAGAACTGTAAAAACACGACAACCAAAACTGCCGCTTTCCTTCAAAGAAACGTTTGATATCCCCACCACATCTGCGCATGACCGAGTAGCAGTGCGAATTCTATTATAGAGCTAGAGCTGACGACATCATACCTACAGCTGATGATATCATACCTACAGCCGATGACATCATACCTGCAGCCGATGACATCATACCTGCAGCCGAAGACATCATACCTACAGCCGATGACATCATACCTGCAGCCGATGACATCATACCCACAGCTGACCACATCACACCTGCAGCTGATGACATCACACCTACAGTTGACGACATCTTGCTTCACGTGTCGCCCGCGCTTTTAGCGCTGCGCACACTCCAGCCGGCGGACCCGCTGGCCGCTGATGCGGTGGTTGTGGCGGCTGCCGCGGTCGCCGTAGCGACCGGTTGCTTTTTCCGATCGGCATGGGCAGCTCGGCCTCCGGCGCCGAGGGTGGCCTGCGCCCTGGGACTCTGACCCATGCCCAGAGCAATGGAAGACGTCGAGCCAATATCAGCGCCGGCAGTCTTGGTTGTGATGTCCGTCAAATCCTTGATGAACACGTCGATCTGCACCACCACCATCACCACCACCACCACCACCACCACCAGCATCAGCACCACCACCACCACCACCAGCAGCAGCAGCAGCAGCAGCAGCAGCAGCAGCAGCAGCAGCAGCAGCAGCAGCAACAGCAGGAGCAGCAGCAGCAGCAAAATGTCCTCGATTAGACACTACTTTGTACAAACAGCTTTGCCGGACTCTGGTCTGCAATTGGGCATGAACGCCTGAGGCACCTGTTCTGGTTCACATCTGCTGACATTGCAGCTTCGCAGCTTTTCCATGTGTTTTATTTCAGGGTACCGAGAATCGACGTGTGCTTTCTAGAGTTCCTTTCTTTTTCTCCGTCCTGTTTCTTTTCCTTCTCTTGCTCCGATTTTGAACGACTTGAACAAAAGTTAGGGAGCCTGACTTATTCCTTCTCATGACGCCGGCGCGGATAGGCAGGAATAAAATTTAATAACAAGAGTACATAACCCCCCAGAGTGTGCAAGTTCACTTATCAGATCTGGGACGGCGAAATCCGTGTTCCACGTCATAATAATGACATCATCAGTAGGGGAAGTGCGGACGTGGCACACCGCGTCGATGGAATGAGGCAAGTCCGACCCAAAAAATGACGTACATCACGGATTACGTCGTCCCACAACCCCATCCCAGTTGCGCACTCTGGGGGATTATGGACTCTTGGTAGTAATAATAATAATACACAGGTTTCCACTTCCCTTCAGAGCAGCGTTGACTTAGGACACTGTCCATTGTTCAATCAACAGACATATCAATAATATTATTATCAAGGCATAGCACCTTATATAATACGGATAAATATATGAAGGACTTGCGGCAAATGTTACGAGTTACGACCAACTGTCCACCAACTGTCGAACTTGCTGACTGCGTATGATCTCGCTACTTTGGTAGACAGTTGGTCAGAACTCGTAACCTTCGCTCCTTCCCTTATTTAGCCATGATTACATTGGATGAACACATTGGCTCAACACCTGAGCTCACAGAGTACTGTTGTCCCCCAAGGAGCAGCAGAAAATAAAACGGCACCCCAGTCCAAGAGATTGGCAACAACTCCAGCACACCAAGCCTCTCACCCTCTCTAGCATCTTGCCAAACGTGACACCATCCTTGTAGCGATGTGACCCCATATGACTGTTGATCATCGTATACAGGTTAGATGTGGCCCTGCAGTGCAGTGTTGTCAGCAAGTACAGTGTTGCCAGCAAGTACAGTACAGTGTTGTCAGCAAGTACACGTGCACACAAAACATGACTTTTCAAACACAGTGTTATGCCACAAGTAGTAAAATAAGTACTCATACCCACAAAAAGCAAGAGTCCATTGCTGTAGGGATGTGTGTGTGTGTGTGCGTGTGTGTTCCTCTGAAGCAGCTTGGTGACATCGTCCAAGATCGACAGGGGTGGTGGGTCACCTGCCGTGACGCTGTCGACGCTATTGTCCAGTCCCGCATGGAGCCCGTGGCGAAGCCCCTCATCTGTGGCACTTGTGCGCACAGTTTTCGTCGGCCACAGGATATTGCGAGGCACAAATGTAACCCTGTTCACGGAGCCCGCGCGTGCGCTGAGTCTGGCGTTCCCCGCCCGGTGGACAACACGTCTCCTGGTCTGCCCCTCATGGGCCCACATAGCCAGTCATGGCAGTGGAAGAAGGAAAAGATATGTGCATGTGCCTCTGGGTGTGTATGTGCGGCGACCAGTGCTAGCTCTTTCTGTCGTTCTTCTTCTTGTTTTCGTTCTGAAAGTTATTACCATGAATGTCCTCTGTTGAGTATTGCCGGAGTATTGTGTGAACCATAATACTAGGGCTCAAACGGTCACGGTTTTACCCCTAACGGTTAACTGCTAAGCTAACGGTCGGTTTAACGGTTATAACCTATAAGCCACGGCAATCCTGCGGACTCTTTTTTAACCGTATATTTGACTATACTCATTCAAAAAATGTACCCTATTCAGTACACCGCACACATGCACATTCTCTTGCATGCTCATTCATACATACTCTCACACCAAGAGACCAGATATGACCGAGTTGAGAGCCCAGAAATTGCGTACGCGTGCGACAGCCTGCGAAAGTGCATGCTTTGCAACGACCTGATACTTGCAAAAATTGACTGAAACCTTACTGCGTAACCGTTATCTTTATCGGTTAACCGTTATTTCTTCGTAACCGGTCTGCAACCGGTTAATCGGACTAACCGTTTGAGCCCTACATAATACCCTGAAGTATCCGCTTTCAATAAGGTGGTGCAATATTCGGTTTGCAGCATTCCCCAATACCCATTCGCTTACAGCTTCAACTGGCCGAGGGTGAGAGTCTGCTTGGCTGCCGTGTTGCGTATGTGCTGCCACTCGCTGTCACTGTAAACACACAAGTAAACACACAAAACATACAAAAGCATGCACACACACACACACACACACACACACACACACACACACACACACACACACACACACACACACACACACACACACACACACATGCACACACACACACACACACAAACACGCACACACACACACATGCACACACATACGTCCACACACAAGCATGCATGCACAAACAGACACACATAATCACAAACCTACTCAGAGACATCAAAAGCGTCCACACATGCAGTGTGTCATCGTGCGGACAATCAAGTTTTATAGGCGAGTCACATGTCAGGAGAATCGGTGGAATCACGCACACGCGGGCGCGCACACACACACACACACACACACACACACACACACACACACACAGAACTAGGGATACTTACAGTTTCGAGTTTGACTGATGCAGAGTGTCCAGTTTAGCCTGCAGTATTGCCAGCTGCACGTACAACAATACATGGCACAACACATTATCATTCTGTTACAGTTGCGCTCACTGAAATCCGACTCAAAGTGCTAAACTGATGCCCTGGACTAGTTCCGATTGCACGGGCAGCAAGGAAAGGAGATCGACAGGAAGAAAGGCAACAAGACAGACAGACAGACAGACAGGAACTTAATAGAGACAAATAAAAAGACATGGTGTGTGTGTGTGTGTGTGTGTGTGTGTGTGTATGTGTGTGCGCGCGTGCGCATGATGTATGTGTGTGTGTGGGGGGGGGGGGGTGTTTGTGTGTGTGAAATAGAGAGATGGATTGGAAAGGAGGTGTGTGCGTGTATTTGAGGGGGGAGGACAGAAGGACACACACACACACACACACACACACACACACACACACACACACACCGTGTGATGGACAACTGCAAAGACACAACCCACTCAAACAATCTGTAAATCAACAGGTCCAGGGAGATTCGGTGTAAGCTTCCACTCCATAGTTTGCAGTTTGCATACAATCACAGACTCACTTCATTTGTCAGGGCGAGCACCTCACTGCTGCGGACCTAGCCAGCCAGCAGTAGTAGTAAACAGGACAAAAAGCCAAAAACATTCACGTTGACGTGAGATTCGGCTGGAGGCCGAGTACTCCTCATCCGTAGGAACGCCACTATCTCTAATACTATGGATCAAGCAGGACAAACAAGGTCGGAATTACTTTTACTCATTTAAAAACGTGCTCGGAATATGACATTAAAAAAATTCACGGTTCGCAGGAGACTCGGTTTATATATAGAGGCCGAGTTGTCCGCATCCATAGGAACGCCACCACCTTTCAAGGATCAAGGCGCAGATGCAGCTCCTAAAGCGGTGGCAGGTGAGTAGATCAGCTCACCAGCATGTGGTCAAAGACCGAAAAATCCCATTCACTGCATCAATGCACAACTAGAAACATTACCCGGACGGAGAGCCAAGGATGAATTTATAGAAAAGAAAAAGGACCAAGGAACTACAAGTTACGCTACACTGTCCACTAACACCACCAGTTACTTGACAATCAGCTCATGCGATGACATTGCAAGGCACTGACCAACGGTGCTGCCGTTCTACAACTGGCAATCAGCTCTAGCACACGGCTGAGACTTTCAGCTTGTGCTTGTATTGGTTATAAGTTATGCCAATAACGTAAGAGGGGAAGGTGTATGCACCTTCCCCTCTTACGTTATTGGCATAACTTATAACCTTCTAAGTTGGAATACTGTTGCAGTGAACAATACGTGATAGAGCTGATTGGCAGTTAGTTGCAGAACGTCGGTACCGTTTGTCAGTGTCTCTGTCATCGCATGAGCTGATTGTCAAGTAACTGGTGGTGTTATAGTGGACGTTATAACGTAACGTGTAATTCCTGGGTCCTTTTCTTCCTTATAAGAACAATAATTACCCTTTTGATTTTTCTGTAGAAGTTAAACTATTGTGTAGACTGTTGAAGCATCATTATTTCCTAGAAGAATAGGCATTTCCTAGAAGGATAGGAATTTCCTAGAAGGATAGGCATTTCCTAGAAGGATAGGCATTTCCTAGAAGGATAGGCATTTCCTAGAAGAATAGGCATTTCCTAGAAGAATAGGCATTTCCTAGAAGGATAGGCATTTCCTAGAAGGATAGGCATTTCCTAGAAGGATAGGCATTTCCTAGAAGGATAGGCATTTCCTAGAAGGATAGGCATTTCCTAGAAGGATAGGCATTTCCTAGAAGGATAGGCATTTCCTAGAAGAATAGGCATTTCCTAGAAGAATAGGCATTTCCTAGAAGGATAGGCATTTCCTAGAAGGATAGGCATTTCCTAGAAGGATAGGCATTTCCTAGAAGGATAGGCATTTCCTAGAAGGATAGGCATTTCCTAGAAGGATAGGCATTTCCTAGAAGGATAGGCATTTCCTAGAAGGATAGGCATTTCCTAGAAGAATAGGCATTTCCTAGAAGAATAGGCATTTCCTAGAAGGATAGGCATTTCCTAGAAGGATAGGCATTTCCTAGAAGGATAGGCATTTCCTAGAAGGATTGGCATTTCCTAGAAGAATAGGCATTTCCTAGAAGGATAGGCATTTCCTAGAAGGATAGGCATTTCCTAGAAGGATAGGCATTTCCTAGAAGGATAGGCATTTCCTAGAAGGATAGGCATTTCCTAGAAGGATAGGCATTTCCTAGAAGGATAGGCATTTCCTAGAAGGATAGGCATTTCCTAGAAGGATAGGCATTTCCTAGAAGAATAGGCATTTCCTAGAAGAA